GAGTAACAGATAATGTGTTTGAGACTCAAATCTTTCTGACTCCACCTTCTCCTGGCAGTCTGGTTATTGTAACTAAAATTGCAAGATTTATGAGAAAAACTGTTGAGGATGCTTTAGAGTATGTTTAAAAGGCATATTTCTTCCAGATTTACCTGAATGAAGGCACTGCATTTGGAATTAATTCCTATAAGTGTTTATGTTAATGCTAGTGTGTTTGAGATCTGATAGAGCTAAAAGAAATGTTCCCCTTTTAATTTTTTTTATTAGAAGTGTCATACAAGATCAGAGGAGCTGTGATTGCTAGACGTAACTGACTACTTCTGTAATGGAGGAAGCTGCTGTCTCTCCGAAGTATAATACAAAGTACTATTATTTGTATATAATACAGAATGTTTCCAAGTGTTTTGTGGTATAAAGCACCTCGCAGGATTTTACTGAAGTCCTTAAAACCTGCAGTACTTGGTAGACAGCCTGTACCATGCAGATATGTGGGTTATCTCTCATTCTTTCTAGTCTTGTGAGAATACATCCAAGGGATAAAGCCTCGGGTAATACAGTTGTCCTTTTAAGTTTAAAGGGTAATTAGATGATCTTGATATTAAAGTGCAGTATTTGGAGCTGCAGACATCGTCTGTTTGTGCCAAAATGCTGTGCACCAGCCTTTGTGTTTCCAGGGTAATCAAGAGATTGGTCACGAATATAAAGGCAAGTATCTAGATAATATGTAAATGAGGCTGTGAGGAATGTCTATGAAAATGATCAGAGAAAGTCACAACTTGAAGAGGAGACTGCAGCATGACTGGTGTGCCTCATGTGAGACGATGGCATTGGGGATGACTGTGTCTTGCCACACTGCCCAGCACATTACAGCTCATGGCTCTGGGTGCTGCCACTGCCAGTCTCCGGTACAGCAAACTCAGGCAATTCTACTTTTGTCAGAAACTTCTCAACAGGAGTTCTTGCAGCCCTTCCCTGTCACATCCTCTGCTCTCTCCTATATCTGAGGATGGGATCGGTGTTTTCTGTGAGGAATAATTCTTTTTTTTTTTTTATGTGCACTTCACTGCTAGCAATCAAAACAGAAACCAAAGAAAAAACAGAAAAGAACTGGGAAACACAGGGGTTAATGCTGTGAAGTCTGTGGGTGCAAACAGGATTTTGTTAAAAGTGAAATGAGATTGGGTGGAGGTAGATAAAAAGAAATCTGAAATAATTGTTCTGCAGAATATGGCCTTTCCACACAGGCAGAAATCTTTCTCTTCACTTCAGTCTGAAGATAGTAAAAAAGAGAATCTCATCTCTTAATTAGAAAGAAAAATACTCATCAAACACATCTCATCACTGGAAAGCTAATGATTCACAGCTGCTAGTCTGAAAGGGCAGGCTTTTTTTCTGAACAGTAGGAAGCGTTAATCATTTTGGATGAGATTTCCTTTTAAAATATACTGTAGTTTTCAAAAGAATAGGATATTCAATATCCTAACTTAAATTATTTTTTGAAGTGTTGTACACCAGGGATAGTGTCATGTGTCTCCCTGAATGATCATTTAATGCAAGTATCACTCACTAAGAGTATCAGCTGACGTGATGTTGTAAATGGCCAGTTCGTGCCTGTGACTCTGAAAATCTTTATCTCAGGGGGGAGAAGAAAAAGTCCTTTCTTATATTCTTCTATGTAGGAAATGGCAGCTATATTAAACTGTAACCTTTGAGACTCCCACTCCTCTCTTAAAATAGTTAGCTTGCTTCAGTAGTGATGAGGATCCTTTTTTTAGACAGAGTTAAAGCCATTATTTCTTTAGAAGATATCATGCGAGATACAGTCCATGTTTCACTAGACCGTTTATAGGCATGGGCAACTCACAGAACTGTCCTTTTTTACTTATTCCATAGCTTTTCTGATTTGGGGTTTTTTTTGGTTGGTTGGTTTTTTTGTTTGGTTTCTTGGGTTGGTTGGTTTGGGTTTGTTTGTTTGTTTCTGGCCTGTACTTTTGTAAGGGATGGATACGTTGCTTCTCCATCATGCATGAAGGTTCCTACATATCACTTCCCTTCTTCTCTTTCACCCTAGCTATCAGGCCCTTTATGTGTAAGAACTAAGTCCCTGAGTTTTCCTGGTGTTCTGCACCAGATTTTGAGTTTGCTCATGTTTATTTAAAAGTTTTGTCTGATACTGGGAATCTGCTTGTTTTCTCCCATTTGCATTTCATGAGTGCATTTCTTGTCTGGGAAGGATAGTGAGGCCATTTGATTTGCAATGCCATCACTGTGCTGGTCTCACACAGCACACATCTCATTTATGTTGCACTGTTTCGCTAGTGCCTGGCTGAGACAGGTACCTAAAAGGAGGAATCAGTAAAAATTCAGCTGGACTAGATAGAAATTAAGGTGGCAGGTCAGGAAGTCTTCTTTGAGAGATGGCAGGTGTAATATCCACACTTCTGAAAGCTGTACCCATACAAGTTGTAAAGTGGTAGTAATATAATTTTTTACTGGCCCTCAGAGTTTGATACTGTAAGGAATTAATACCATTAAAGATCATTTGGCACTTAGATACTTCAAGTGAGAAGTGCTTGGATGAGAATTTATTGATATTCTGGAGTACAGGGGACATGATGACCGTGTTCCTCATTCTCCTGTCAGGTCTGTATTTCCTGAGACTGTGTAAGTTGTTAGCTTCTTTTCTCTCTGGGGACAGGGATTGAACAGTACTTCATTTTCTTTCCATCTTTCTAACCAAAGTTCATCTCAGACCCTAAGAAAGTCTATGCATTGCCATTTATCAACAGGTTGTCTCTTGTATTTGCTTTTCTAATACTTGGTATTATTTGCTGGCTTCCAGAGTACCCTTCAGCGTGCATAAATTAACTCAGGGCATTTCTGGGTTAAAGCTTGCAACAATTTTTTTGCTTTTCTTTTGAGGCATGAAATCTGTTATAAGTTGGCTACATCAAATTTACCACTTTTCTGTAGATAACAAGCTCATAGAAGAGCTCTTGAATTCCATGACCTCGTTCGCTTTTTCATTACCAGTTCTAGCAGATTTCCTTTTAAACTAAACAACCTAAAAAATGCATTTTTCTTTCGAATGAAATACATTTTAGTTAGAAGTGCCAGTATACTCTTGTGAGTCATACTCACTGCTTTTTCAGTTCTTTTCAGTATTTATCATGTTTGTCTTGCAGTTTCATAGGACTTGCATATGGATAGCACTCAGTGGTAGAAAGTACAGGCCTGAGGTAAGCTAGCTGATCTGAGAGAGGAGATTACCTAAAATATACAGATTTTTTTTTTCTCCTATGTGACAGCTTAAATTTGATAAGAGCATTTTGTTTGTTTTAACTCCAAACAAAAAGCCAGCAGAAGACTACTGAAATCTCAGTTTTATTCTTACTCCAATTTATATACATCCTGTGACTGATTTGGGAAAATGAGCCCTGTTTTAGTTAATCTGAAAAAAAAAGTAGTGCATTAGGTTTGCAAGTTTTGTGGCACTACACCCTCCTTCATTTTAGTAGGTATTAAAAATGCAAATATTCAAAAGCTTAACTATTTGGATGGAGAAGGCTTATCAAGATTTAAGGATATTTATCCAGGTGTGGTACATAGTGTGATTCGCTCTCACATTTGTTTTTTGTGACGAAGTTTTTATGAGAAGAAAACAAACCTTAGTAATGTCTACAGATGGATTTTAAGCTGTTTTAAGGGGGGTTTGTTTGTAGGGAAAATTTGAGATAAAAATTGTTTTAGTTTGACCCCATCCAAGTGAAATTATTTTTAGTTCTTTCCTGCAAACTATTTATTTTGTAGCAGCATCAGTAGGGAACAGTATCTAGACATTGGTGTACAGAGCTAGTAGTGCAGATAGGTTTCTTGTAGTGTACAATCACTGTTTGGGCCCTATACTACAGAGCAGCCCATGCACATCTTTGAGAGATATAACGCAACCAAGCTTCTGGCAGCTCCCAGTCATGGAGCATTTGAGGTGTTTTGGGAAAACACTGCAACAAATTAAAGCTTTCGGAACGGTGGACTTAGGTGGGTTCTCAGCATTTTCTTTTAATCTCATTTTTAATGAGTCTGTGGTCATTTCAGATTTGCTATGCTTTCATTAAAATAGCCGTACACCTGTAGCTTTTACTGTGATTTTTTTGCTAGTTTTCCATGCAAAAGATTTTTTCAGATTGATACTTCTACTTGTTTCTGTGGCATTACTATTCCATGACCATATTGTTTCTTCTAAACAGCAAATTAATCTTTATTCACTCCTCTGCCAACTTCCACTGCTACAGGATTGTTTCAAAGCTAAAACCAGGTTCACTGACATGTTGAGGTCTTTAAATTCGTATAAGAAAGATGGAGAGGGATATTTTACAAGGGTATGTAGTAATAGAACAAGGAGTAGCGGCTTTATACTGAAAGAAGATGGGTTTAAATTAGTTATTAGGAAGAAATTTTTTACTGTAAGAGTGGTGAGACACTGGAACAAGTTGCCCACAGAAATTGTGGTTTTCCTATCCCTGGAAGTGTTCAAGGCCAGGTTGGATGAGGTCCTGACCAGCCTGGTATAGTGGAGCGTGTCCCCACCTATGCCAGGGAGTTTGGATCTAGATGATCTTTAAGGACCCTTTCAACCCAGGTTATTCTGTGTTTCTGTGATTTGTGAAAATAACTAACCTTTCTGAGGATGTAATCTTATATTTATGCCTTTTTGCATTTTTTTTGTCCACAAAAGCATTATTTTATGAGAGAACGATTAATAATCCTCTTGGACCATGCTGCATAATTTTTTCTTTTCCAAGAATTAAGATAGGAAGCACTGGGAAGTGTAGTAGTTGTTTCATGCAGGTAAGTGTCAAGTCAGCAAAGTGGTTAAACAACTTTCCTGTCTGAGGAGAGGTGGGTTTTTTTAGAATTGTTTTAATTTATTGTTTTAACTATGCACAAGAGTTTAATGTAATGCTGATTTGAATAACTTTTTTTCCTGTTCTGTCTTCTAGCTTTTTCTTTTTGTGGTCTGGAACTTTGAGCTCTACATGATACCACTGGCTTTGTTGTTGCTGCTGGCATGGAACTACTTCTTGATCATATCAGGGAAAGATAATAGGCAACATGATACAGTAAGTCTTCTCTACTTTAAGGGCATATGTGTCCTTTTCTTTTTTTTAGCTGGGCAAAATTTTTAAATGGAATTTAAATATTACATCTTTTTGAGGATCATTTGAAACAAGACAGTTTCAGACTGGAATGCAACTTTTCTAGCAAACTTTTTTGCATTAAGAATTGTTGAACAATGGCAGAGGTAGCCTAGGAAAGTGCAGTAGCTGTTGGAAGTTTTCAGGGCCTGGCTGGGTAGAACTCTGCGGAACCTGATTTGACCTCATGGCTGAGCCTTCTTTAAGCACAGAATTGGAGATCCCTGCCAGCCCGAGTGATCCCCTAATGTCTAGCAACTTCACTTATTAGTGACCAGAGGAACCCACATAGCCATGATAACAGCGGTGTTGTTACCTGTCTACATCGCTGAGACTGTTGTGCTTTCAAGTCATCTAAAATTAAGGATGGGGTTGATAGAGGTATTCCCTAATCCCTGAAATACCACCTGCCTGTGAGGATTTCTCTCTGAAATTCCTTGTGGAATAATTTACCTGGCAAACAAGGATATGAGTTCCTCTGTCATACAATGAGCTTCCTGTTTGAGTGCAAGTATGATTATTTTGTCATTTACTCTGACTCCTAGTAAGTTATATGTGCAAGTCCTTTCTTGAATTCAGGGTGAACTGAGATTGGGGCAAGGGGGAATCCCAAATGTATTTACTGGTAGGAGATAACTGTATTGGAATGCCCAACAGAGAGGTGAAACAGCGTATTAGGTATTATTGCCTTCATGGATTCAGGGGGACTCTTTGTAGGATTGGTGATCATTGTGGTTTTAGTCCAACACTGACACTAACTTCCAAAAAAAGTATTGGATTCCCTATCTTTCATGCATTTAGATCAAGATGTGCTGTGTTTCTGAAGGATATGCTTTCATGAAATAGGAACTCTTGCATTAAACTTGGGTGTAAGCAACTGTAGATATAGATTTAATGGATAGTTCTCTAAATGAATTTGTGAGAATTCAGAACTGAACTAAAACAATGAGCTTCTGGCATTAAGTCATGTGGCAGGTATAAAAAATCAAACTATAAATATTTCCTGCCAGTATTAAGTGAAGGAAAACTAGAATCACTAGAATGGAATTCCTAGTGCCTTCCTCTGAATTTTGCATTTTTGCCTGAAGTATGCCCAGCTGCTTTCTCCAAGGATCCTTGCTCTACCTTGTAATCATACTCTTGAATATCTGACCTCACAAAATAATTTCTTTTTAGAACAACTGCTGTTTCCCTATTAAACCATGATCACCTAAACACACAAGACTGGAAGTGAGTGAATCCTACTTGTTTGGTTTTATTTTTTTCCCCGCCTTTTTTCCATCATCTTTTTCACATCCTCTGTGGGAGAATTATCAACCATTGCCATGCTTCTGTCCCCACTGCCTCCTGCTTCTTGTCTTCTGCTCTGAATCTGTGCTGTGGGAAGTAACATGGAAGTACTACCCTTGCACATTGCCAGCCTATGGAAAGTGCAGGGTACAGAGCATGACATGGTGACAGACTGCAAACTAATGGAAAATATGCTGGGGTTTAAAGCTTATTTTCATTATTTTTAAGAATCTACTTAATATTTTGATGATTTCAAATATCTCATACAAAAAAGCTCCCTCACCTTTGTAGCTTGGAGAAAACACCAGTGCTGCTGTCCAGTATCTGGAGTCTTTTTCTATTTCTAAGCAAAATTCACAGTCAGAACTGTGTGAAGTTAATGGGGCGGGGGGAATCTTCTTTGTTCTTTACTTCTTCAGTGCTACTTAAGGCTGTCTCTTGTGTGTTCTGACTGCCTACTGGCGCTACCTAACTTAAGGAATAGTCAGATAATCCCTCAGAGTGGTCCCGCTCTCCAGCTCTTCATGGCTATGGATCATTTTTACTCTGAGTACGTGGCTACTGGCTACTACAATTAGGACAAACCCTGACAATCACTGAGCTGTTAGGCTATAATGCTTAACAGTTATAACTGTAACAGGCACACTGGATCTCCTCTGATAACACTGCAAATTCTTGTTCTTCCATGACCAGATAGGTAGCAGACAAGGATCCCGGATCATTTTCTCTTCCATACTGCCATTGAGGAAGAAGGGCTGGAAGGGGACTGGACAAATCTGGGAAGACAACAACCACTTGCAAAGTTTTTACTGACAGCAGGGGCTTCGTTTTTACAACTCTGGGATCCTCCTTGAAGATTGAGAATTGCTAGGAAAAGATCCACATCAACACTTGCGGCACAATCTTCCTCAGAAGGCCGTCCAACCTAATGAGTAGAGCATTAAACTAAAAATAAAGGGATAGGGTGATGATGACCTACAGTCAAGTGAGGAATCACAGAATAGGTTGATTTTGAAAGGACCTTCAGAGGGAGACCTTCAACTAGACCAGGTTGTTCAAAGTCCAACCTGGACTTGAACTCTTCCAGAGATGGGGCGTTCACGGCTTTTCTGGTCAACCTGTGTCAGTGCCTTACCACCCTCACAGTGAAGAATTTCTTTCCAATATCTAATTTGCCTTCAGTCAATTTGAAGCTATTATCTCTTGTACTATCAAGAAAGTGGTAGTGGCAAGCAAAGGGTGCAGGATGAATGGACAGGAGAGCCCTCAAAACCAACCCAACAGAGCAGAAGGGCTCCACAGCAGGTGCAGGCACACAAATGCCTCTGGAAGAGTCTCTCGCGTCCTCCCTGAGAACCCAGCATGCTAGCGTTCTCTCCCTGTAGTGCCTGTACATCAATGTGCACAGCATAGGAACCAGTAGGAGTTCAGAGGTCCGAGTGCAGCTACATTCAGGCACAATCACAGGGATGTGGTGAAATTGCTCCCACATCTGTCACGCTGTAGATGTGTGCTGGCTTTTTAGTCAAGACAGGCTGGGAAAGTGGGGAGAGGGAGTTGCTCTTCAGTCCAGCCAAGGGAAGATTATGAAGGGATTGGAGCATCTGCCATACAAGGAGAGGCTGAGCAAGCTGTTACTGCTCTGCATAGAGAAGAAGACTCAGGGAGTTCTTGATGTATATAAATAGCTGAAGGGAGCAGATGAAGAGAGATACAGGCTTTTCTCAGAGGTGCTCAGTGGCAGGATGGTATCAATGGCCACAAACCAAAACATCTGAAATTCCGTCTGAGCACAAGAAGTCACTTTCACCTTGAGTGTGGTAACAGTCAGGACCAGGTTGCCCTGAGAGGTTGTGGAGTCTCCATTCATGAAGCTACTCAAGACCTTTCAGGACATGGGCTTGGGCAACCTGCTCAAAAGTGACCTTTCTTGAGTAGGAAGGTTGGGCCTGATGATGGTCTGCTTGAGTGGGGATGCTCTGCTAACCTCTGCCACTCAGATATTCTCTGACTGAAGATACTAACCTCTCTCTCCTTTAAGTCTATTATTTTCCAAGCAATTAAAAATTTAATAGAAGAACAATGCACATGCACAGGTAATGGAGTTACCTGTGAATATTCTTCCGCCATATATACCCCTGTGGAGAAGTTTAATCACTTCACATCCTGCATTGACAGTTAATACTTAGAGCTTTTAAAGAAATATTAAATAGGTATTTTCCTCTTAAGTTTTGAGATGCACATGTCATTGCATACAAAATGACACTGAACAGCTGGGATTTAATGTGCCATACACAAATTTTTATGAATTTTTACAATCAATTATATATATATTATATATATAATCAATTATACATATATATTATTATCTTGTCATTATATAAAATGACAGAAGGCATCTTTTAGTTTCATTGTAGATTTTTTGCTACACAGGCTTTGATGATGTGTATATATATATATTTGTATTAAAAGTTAGAACTGGATATGTTCAGGATAAAATTTTGAGAACAGAAGAAAAATAATTTTGTTAAAGACAGCCTTTTCATTTTGAGGTTTTAAGCAGTTTTCTCTGGGTACTTTCTGTGCAGTCCTCCAATATGATACGTATACTCAGATCTTTATGTGTCTTCTGGATATTGCCAAATGAAGAAAAACAAAAGACGGAATGGGAAAAATGATGCTAATGGATATATCCATCTCACTGGAGTCTTCCTTCACTCAAAAAAGGATGCTAAGCACAATGAGCATGAATTGATCATACAATCCCAGCTCACTTGCACCTAGGAGACCTTTTCTGATTAGAATCTTACCACTTTCTCCTGGGGGCCAGGCAACAGTGCCTGTCAGAGCTTTTAGTGTATTTATTGCTGCTCCTGTTTGGGGCAGAAAAGTGACACTTTGCTGTACATTCAATGCAGAATCTAACCCCACCAGGAAAGTGCCTGATTTAACAAACTGTTTTCATAGAAATTAAAAACTAAGTTACCAAGTAAATAAACAAATAAGTAACTTTATTTTTTGTTTCTTCAAATTGTGGTCTTAAAGACTGAGTCCTTACAGTTCTTGCATTCAAAGGGTTTCATCTGCAGATTAATACAGGACAAACCAAGTGCTTTAGAACCCTTGCTTGTATGGTATTCTGGGGTTTTGAGCTTCAAGTCCAGAAGTTCTCTTCTACCAGGGGGTCTGCAATGATTTCTAAGTTAGGAGTAAATTCTTGCTATGAATTTATGAAAAAAATAAATATCATTGTGCCTGTATTCTAGTGAGACAGTGTCCAGAATATGTCATTTGCACAAGATGATACAAAAGGATACTGTCAGGTTGGAAACTACATCTTGACTTCTTTCTGACAGTACTTTCATGAGAAATTTTGCCTCCAGTATGATAGCAGTAGCAGAAACCGCAAAACCCCCAAAATGTAAGAGCTGATGGGAGAGCATGGTTAGCCACAGAATAATATGTGTGTGAAAGTAAAGGAAAAATACGGAAAAAGAAGGAAAGTACAATTGTTTCCATAATATTATTTTCAACTTTATGCAGAACTGATTTTACCTTAAATTTTCTGGCCCCTAGCTAATCACAAACTTTGTCTCCATTTGTTATCATAATAAAATAAGTTAGAAAGCCTTTTG